GTTGACATGGTCCCCGCTTCGCGGCGCGACGGCCAATGCGCCATTGTCTTTGCTGACCCGCCGGTTGGGAAGCACCACAGGCGGGCAGCCACTCCTAGGGGAGACCAACGGTCTGCTACCCCGCGACCTGAATCCAGGTCAAAGGGTGATCAGCAAAAGGGCAAAGCCCCTGCACAATCCTGGCCCAAGGGCGGAGGTCACAAGGGTGACCAGTTCCCAGGAAAGGGTCACAAAGGTGATCAGTACAAAGGCAAGGGTGGCCAATACGGCTACCAACAAGGGCAGTTCGGTCGTGGCGGATCCGCCAGATCGAGAACTCCCACTGGCGGGTATCAGCCTGATGCTCGCGGGTCGGGATACAAGGGTGCTCAGGCAGCCCCTTTCCCGTTCCCAAGTCCGATGTACCCCGCTTTCCCAATGGGAGGGTACATGCAACAGCCAATGGCTGGCATGATGCCGCAAATGTGGCCTGGCGCAATGCAGCAGGGTTGGCAGCCGCACATGCAGGGTGATCCACGCGAGTTCGAGAATCCGAACTCGCCGCATACCCCTACCTGGGGTGCGGATGATGAGTTGGCCGAGACCGTGCCTCCTCCTCCTGGGGACTGGAACGTCAACAAGGGGAGGGGACGGCACGGCGGCGGACGACATCGGTAATACCTGGTGTCCGTCTGCATCTTTTGCGTAGCGGCGCCAACGCGCGCGTGCTTTCATTCCGGAATTCACATAATGGACAATGCTCCCTGTAGTATTTCTATGTTTGGGCTATTCGCCATTCCAGAATTCAACTGCATGCGCAGCTGTGCGCTATTCGCGCTGGCAGCGATTACCTGTCAGGTGTGCGTCGCCGCAGCAAGGCAGTTACCCTCGCCGGTGTCTACGGCCGCTGGTTGTCAGCATCGTCCAGCACCGCTGCTGCTGCTGGAGATGGAACTCATCAAGGTGCTGCGGTGAGGATCACGGATGCGCTGCACCGCTGCCGGTGAAGTCCTACTCGGACCTGAACCGCTGATTGCAGCTGGTGGTGTTCCTACTGAAGGTCTTTGTGTGATCGCGCGCCTAGACGGTGCTACTTTAAAGACCAAGGTCTTGTGGTCGAAGCACCATGTTTCAACCAGCAGGCCAATGCGCCTAAATCATGAATTCAGGAACTAAATCCACTTGAACCTTGCGGTTCGTTGTGGTTGCATTGCAAATGTAATTTTATTTCATGCCTGCCATTCTGGAGTTGAATCTTTGTTTCTGTTTCTTTTTGCTTTCTCTTGTTTGATTTGGCTACCGGCGCGAATCCGCCCCATACCCGTAATTCGGGGTGGTGGCGGGATCCGGGCACCAATGAGTGCCCGGGTATGGGGTCGCGAACCCTGGTAGCCTAATCGGCTTTGTTTTTCTTGTTTATTGCATTTCAACTTCAACATGGCCAATGCGCCTTTCCAAATTCACTCCATCTCTTTGTACAGTCGAGGGGGGTGTTTTTGGGGGCATGTAGTTTTATCATAGCATGTTTCCATGCCACGGCCAATGCGCCGTTTGGCTCAAGCTTTTCACTGCGTCAATCCCCGTTTGCTGTTTCGTCGCTCATAACCCGCGGCGCGGCACGTCATCCCGCACCTGAAAAAGGACGGGCTGACGCTGCTGCGGTGGGCTTCTGGGTGGAGCAGGTCGGATTGGGGTTTGGTGGTGTGCGTGTTGTTTGCTTGCTTGCTCGCTGTGCTTGCCCGCTCGCCTGCGTTGGTGCTGCTGCTCTGCCTCCGCTCGCTGTCTGCCCTTGCTGGGCTCATTCTTCTGTTTGTTCAACTGGCACCCTTTTGGTTCGTGTTTGTGCCGGCCGAGGGCAACCGCTTTGCCCTTGGGACCGGGGGGATAAGGTGGTCTCTTCTTGTTGGTGGGTTAGGGCCTGTTTTATCCATCCCGAAGCTTTGTTTCAAACCCTTTCGCACTTTCTGACAATACATATACATATACATATATATGTAACATGTATACATGTATACATATATATATATATATATATTTGATGACTGTGTCACCTTCTTGTTTATCAAGGGAACAAACCAGAAAAGGCTCGCACCGCACGCAAATTGAAAAGTGTCCCCTTTGAAGCCGAAAGACCACGGCCAAGGAGAAGCTTGATTGGGGATTGACCCATATTCACGCGGATGTGTTTGTGATTGTGCGCGTTTGCATGTGCAAGTGACTGTGCACGTGCAAACTTGCGTGCGTGTGTGCGTGCGTGCGTGCGTGTGTGGTTGTGTGTGTGTGTCTGTGTCTGTGTCTGTGTCTGTGTCTGTGTCTGTGTCTGTGTCTGTGTGTGTGTGTGTCCACCTGTTGTTCGTGTTGTGTTGTGTGTGTGCGGAGTGGCAGAATACCCTGCCACCAAACCTTTTTCTGCAGCAGGGGGCAGGGGGTGCCAGGGGCAGAGCAAGGCTGGCATCAACGAAGACCTTTGCTCTTGCCTGTGATATCAATCTCAGACGCGAGATTGACGTACCTGCATCAGTGATTTAAAGTCCTTTTGGCCCGCTGTTTCTCTCGCTGTAAGTGCTTCTTGTTGCTTCTGTAGCGTTTTCGATTCTACCGGAAAGCCAAGCGTCTTGCGAGCCGAAACTCATCGTACTCGAGACTTATCAGTTGTACTCGAGACTCATCAGTTGTACTCGAGACTCATCAGTTGTACTCGAATGATTAGCACCTTTGTTGGGAGTTGAAGTGTGACTACCCCAGCTTGGGGGAACCTCGGGTGTACCCATCGTGTGACCCCGGGCCAGTTCGCCGGAAAATTTGACCTCAACGTTCTTATCACAGCTCAGCGGAATTTCACGATTTAAGCAGGAACGAGGTTTCACTAAAGGGAAGACAGCCGTCAGATCATAGCTAAGTCTCACCCTTCTTTCTTCTCGCCTTCGTCTTCCGCGTGACCGTCTTCTGGTTCTTCGCCCGCCTAGGGATGGCTTCTCCTTCCTCCCGTTCTCTTCCTGCTGCCTTTCGTGACCCGCGCGTTCGTCCTCCTCCTCTTCGCCCGCTTAGGGATGGCCTGGTTGTCCTCGCGTTGTTCACCTTTTTCCTTGTCTTCGTCTTCTTGTCCGTCTACCTGTTCCTACTCCTCTTCTTCCTCACGTAGTTTGGCTTGACGTATTTCGTGTCCGTCCTCTTGGCCCCCGTGTGGGATTCAACGTCTTCCTCCTCGAGCCTTGGATCCTCTGTTCCTGTCTGGGCGGGATGCGTCGCCCTAAAAACGCATACTACATCCCTCTTCCTCTTCCTTCTTCCTTCTTCCTTCTTTTCTCCTTTTGTCTCCTTGTCTTCTGCTTCTTTTCTTTGCTTTTCTGTTTTCTCCTTTCTCCTCTCCCCGGGCGGGCTGCGGCGCCCTAAATACGCATCTCGCTCCCTTTGTCTTCTTTTCTCTCCTTCTTCTTTTTCTTCTTCTCTTTCCCTTTCTTTCCTTTCTCCTCCCCCCGGGCGGGCTGCGGCGCCCTAAATACGCATCCGGCCCCCCTTTTTTCTCTTCTTGTTCTCTCTTTCTCGCGCTCTCTCTTTCTTTCTTTCCCGCTTTTCTCCTCCCTCTTTTCCAACTACTTCCTGTTGTTCCTCTTCGCCCGTTTAGGGATGGCGTGTTCGTGGTGTCGTTCTTCAACTTCGCGGTGCTCTTCTTCTACCAGGTTTAGGAGGGTTTCTAGGCTGTTTGGGGTTATTTGCCCTCGGCGGTGACCCTAAACTCGGGTTCCCCTGTTTTTCGTGTTTCTTGGTTGGGTTTTGCCCGCGGAGACCCAACGTGGGGCCTTTCTGTTTCCTTTGTTTTCCTGCTCTGTTTGTTTTCTGTTGGGGTCTTCGCCCGGTTTTGGGGCGCGTGTTTCCCCCCCCGAAAAAGTGGTTCTCGCCTCTCTTTGAGGGGCGTGTGTGTGCGGAGTGGCAGAATACCCTGCCACCAAACCTTTTTCTGCAGCAGGGGGTGCCAGGGGCAGAGCAAGGCTGGCACCAACGAAGACCTTTGCTCTTGCCTGTGATATCAATCTCGGACGCGAGATTGACGTACCTGCACCAGTGATTCAAAGTCCTTTTGGCCCGTTGTTTCTCTCGCTGTGTGTGCTTCATGTTGAACCTTGTAATGTTTTCGATTCTAGAGGAAAGCAAGTGCTTCGCGAGCCGAAACTCATCGTACTCGAGACTTATCAGTTGTACTCGAGACTCATCAGTTGTACTCGAGACTCATCAGTTGTACTCGAATGATTAGCACCTTTGTTGGGAGTTGAAGTGTGTGTCTATGCACGTACGTGTGCGTGTGCGTGTGTGTGAATCGTTGCCAGTGTTTGTTACTGTGTTTGTGTCTGTGTTTTTGAGGGTACCCTTTTCAGGTTGACATGAATGGACACCTAACAGAAGAGAGTGTCCTATTTCGGCACATATTCGCTGACCTTTCTGGGTTGCTTCAATTCAGTGCTTGATTCTTATGTCACATGGTTACGGATCCGGGATCCCATTGTAGACGACCCAGTGGACAGAAATGTCAGAGGAGGAAGTTGCCTGGATTGCCATAAGCCAGAAGCTGCATTGCACATTGCAGCCTCAGCACGAACGGAACGCCACCATGTTGGGGAGCGGTTCCTCTGTCGGTCACATGGGTATGTGTCAAACAGGGACATGGACCCACAAAACGGGCGGTGTCCCTTTTTCCCGTCTTTTTCTTTAATGTTTCTTTTTGGAACCTCAAAAGGTGGTGATCGTAGTGGAAACCACTCTGAATTGATCAACTTTCGATTCGGAAAATCCAGTGACCCCTGCCCTAAACTTTGTTCCCGTCTTGTTCACCAGCCCACAAGGGGGCACAACAAAAATCCTCACACCCCATGACCTCAACTTTGGAGGTCCCTAGAAATGGGAAGTGCGTCAAAACCAATGGGATCCCATTCGGTGCACCACCCCTTTTAGAACCTATTTTAGTGGGATTGGTTGATGTTCACTGGGCCAAATGGGAAGTGATCTGGTCCCGAAACCGCCCCGAGGCTCCTGGGCCTCTGCGAGCGCCAAAGGCGCTGGGCTGAAGCCCTGCAACTGCTGCAGGTGAGACGCGAAGTTCGAGACGCGAGCTATCGATCTGTTCAGCGAATCGACCTTGCAACCAAGTGTTGTTGGCAAGTTGTTAGTTGTTTTGTTTTTTGGTTCTGTTCATGTTCGGTAGGGGGCTGCAAAAAAGCAGTCTGTGTTTTGTAAGCCCACACCAAGGGTCGCAAAGTTGCAAGCGGAAGTGCCGTGTTGCTGCCATACCAAGGATATTTTTTCTTTTGGCGTTTTTGGGGGGCTCTGTTTTCATTTTTGGGTTGTGGGCTGCAAAACAATGTTTTTTTTTGTGTTTCTGGCTTTCCGGGGGTTCTGTTTTCATCATTTGTTATCTCGGTTTTTTGGGGCCTGCAACACCAAAACAATGGGCTTCCTCCGTTTCCAGCGACTGCTCCGTTTCTGCAGGAGATGTCCGGTGCCTTTTCTTTCCCCGATGTCATCAGCTTCAGCACCGCCATCGCGGCCTGCGAGAAGGAGGGCCCCGGCACCCGAAGCTCCGGCGAGGTCTCGCTGGGTTTCCCAAAGCGGAATCCAGCTGAAACCTTTTGGCTTTCCGGTAAAAACGTCACGCAAAAGGTTCAGCGCTGATTTCCGGGTTCCCAAGGGGCAACTGAGTTATGGCAGCTTGGTGACGGATCCTTGACTTTAACCACTTTTTGTTGAACCAATTTGGGTTTTCCGCATTGGAGCCAGAAAAGGATCCTTGGACTTTAAAGTGTTTGGTTGGAACTTTGTGGATTTTCCGAAATGGACCCACAAGCAAATTTCCTCTTTTTGCACTGTGGGACCTCGTTAGCTTCTTTCCGCTGTCCGGGGTGGTCCGGTAAGGTTCTGGTTGAATTTTGGAGCTTGACTCGACCCCCCTTGTGTTTCAACTAGGACGTAACTTTGTCGTTTGGGCGCTGCCGGTCAGGTGACATGGTCGAATTCAGCGGCAAGCAGCCTCCAAAGGTCCATGGCCAGTCATGTGAAATCCGAAATCCCATGGTTCATTGGAGGCTGGGGGTTACCCGCAAGAACCATAAATAGAAGCAGCCAGTCTGGTGATTCAACAGAAACATGTATGAGCCCATATTATTGACTCCTGGTATGACCCCCTGCTTATGTTGCTTACTGAACCAGCTCTGGCTCAAAGGAAAACCAGGCAGCAAAGGTATCCAACGTTAGGCATTCACTTGCATAGGTCCGTACACACCTCACAATCCATGAAATCCATGCGGTGCTGATGTTCCTTATAATCCGCGTGATCTTTTTGGATGGGGTACCCCTAGTTTGTGGTTTTAAAGGGAGTCCAAGAGGAGAAGGCTGTGGCTCAAGAATCCGGAATTCCAAAATGGGTTGCCCTGGTAAGTGGGCACATGGACCAAAACCTGGCGGTTTGCCCCTCCGATCGTTCAATTTTGAGCCACACCCAAGTCCACCATTTTGGGGGCTCCCTACTTGTGAGGTCATGTGAGGCCTCCACATGAGCCGGACACGTCTGGTCTGGGCTTCACTCGCCAGCTCGCAGGGCCTGCAGTGGCAGCCGGCCTTGGCGATTCTCGCGGCCATGGGCAGGGCCCCCAGTCAGCCGGCATCGGCATCGATCGGCATACCGATTCTTTGAGAAACCCAGGGGTCGGTTGACATGGGAAAGACATGCCACTTGAAAGGCCATGGCAATTGTCATCATTTTCGGCTTGGTAAAAAAGGGGGAAGCCAGAAGAAGAATCACATTTTGTTGGAGAGTTCACTCTTTGACACATACTCAAATGTGGTAGAGCCACTTGTGATACCAAGGGGACCACCTAAGTGAGGTGCTCATGGGACTGACCCATGGTACTACAAAGACCCTCCCACAACATGGAGCGTCACGGGGGTTGTGGAAGACGATGCTCGGGACTCGGGTTCCTTGCCCTAAGGGTCCCTTGCTAACTTGCGAGGTTGTATGTTAACCCCGTTTGACCCCTCCTTGCAGTACATCCTCAGAAGGTGCTCTTGGGCGGGCGGACAGCAATGCCATCAAAGAGATCGAATCTGCAGGTCTCCTTTGAAAGCGCTCTCTTTTGCAATCAATAAGCTCATCAGCCTTGGCCAGAGTTCTCAACCTCCGACATTTGCCATGGAGCATCGTAGGAACCCTCATGCTTGGTGGTAGGAAAGCCGTTTGTTTGGGTGGGCGGTCTATACATTAATTAGTATATATTATCCATATAATATATTGTTGAGTTGGAGAGTTGTTTTCCTTTTGCAGAGTCAGATGTAGTGGGCATCACAGATGAAGCACAGAAAGTTAGGCATATTATATGCATATCCACACATATATATATATATATACATATTATCCCTTTATAAGACACATTTTAATCCGAGGTTTGTTTGTCCACTTCTGAAGTCTCCTCCTCTGAGAGCCATGGTCCATATCTAGTTTCAGGTTTATCTATACTTGCTGGTGCTCAGTAATGGGAATGAACTTGTTTGTTTTTCTCGAGGGCCATTCCCATCGCACCAGCAAGTATCATGTTGAGGTCTTTGGGCCGAAAGTTGATGGTGACACACATAGGTGCAGGTTTCTGGCAGAAGTATTTGTGTTTTTGTGTTTGTCGCCTTCTATCCATGGGGCAGCCCCCAGAAACATAATTTGGTTCGACGTTGCTACTGTGGATGGACGAAATCCGTTCAGGCCACGAATTGAAACCATGATTGAAACCATAACCATTGTCGGTATTTACGTTGGGAATCGAATGAGAAACCATGTTTTCTGAACGGTGGTGTGTTGGATGGATTTTATCCATCCACAGTATCTCCCCGCGCGCGATGTCCGTCTTGAGGCCGGCAGAAAGTACGGCCAAATGTCTTCAGCCTCAGCGCTGCGGTGAGTGCTTGCGAAGCTTGCCCGCGGGCTCAGTCTGGGATTGCGGAGTGTAGGACCGTCGGCGAAATGGGTGGCGCGTCGTTTTTGCTGTGCTTTGGGTGCATCGGACATCAAATGCGGTTGTGACTTGCAGCGAACTCACCGCCCACGGGCCTGGGGTGGAATCTATGCGTTGTTTCGCTTGTTTCGCATGGTTCTGCGAGCAAAAAAAAGCGGCGATCGGGTATCGTTTTTATTTCGGGTAGGCCCATTTGTTGGTTTTTGGGGTAGGCGCCGATCGGTTTCTGGTGGTAATATTGTCAGGTATTCCTGTGGAGCCATGCTTCAGTCCTTGGGAAGTTGGAAGTTCAATGCCTCCTTGCAATGCTCACGTACGATAGTGAACTCAACACGAAGGCAGTGCCCAGTTGATACCACACGTGCAAGGCTCCAACGTACTCAGGTTCATGTTTTCAAAGCGTCTTAATATTTATGTCTTTGAGGTTGGATCTTTGGACTTTATTTTTGTTGGTTCAATCTTTGTGGATTTGCCGAATTAAAACCAAACCAAGTTGTTCACGTTTAGAGGGGTCTCGCCAGCCCTCCCCTTTAGTTGTTAAGGCTTAGTGGGGGGAGTTTCCTTTCAGCAAGAAAAGGTTGAACTTTTAGCAGAGGATCTGAGGACTGCCCAGAATGAATTTGGGGGACACCCTTTGTTGTCCACATTCAAGCGCCAGTTCACAGGGGGGAATTTTCCCAAGTGGTGCAAGATTTCGGCCAGCAACCAGGATATGTTCACCCCATATTCATCAACCCCAGTAATAGGGAGTTGCTTTTGCCTGAGTTCCGTGGCCGGAATCAGACCACTTTTGCAAGGGTTTCCCTCCTATTATTTACAACAGGTTGGTTGAGCATGGGGTCGACATGAATGTCGACCCCTGGGCAAGCCCAACAGTGATCAAAGGGCCCCAGTCCTGGAAGAACAGGGGCAGGGAAAAAGGTCGTTGGGTTGGCGGTTTTTTGACTAGGTCCCCCAGCATTGTGCCCTTCTCTCCCCTTTTTTGGGGGGAGGGTTCCCCTACTAAAATAGACTACAGAAAAAGTTGGTACCCTTATTCTACCTCTCTGGAGGACCTAGTTGAGGTTTTCCCTTCGCTTTACCGAAACCCCCTGGTGTCCTCTTAAGACGGTGTGAGGCCATGCTTGGGAGCGGGCGCCGGGGGTCTTAGAACCTCGAACATAAGAGGTACCTCGAATGCAAGAGCGCTGAAAATCATGTCACGTTTGTGGGTCAAAATAGGTACCCAACATGGAATCTTAGTAAATGGAAACATGGACTAAAACCTGCGGTCCATATCCTAGTGGTGTTATTTTGACCCACACCCATGTGCCCCTTGTTACTTTCTTGGTAACAATCCGATTCCTTAGTTTTGAGTTTGTTTTTGTTGGTTTAGTGGCAGTTTCCACTAAACCACTCAAAGTTTGAAAGAACTTTTGCAGTGGACCTGGGAACAGCCCAGGTTCGCAAACCGGTTACACAAGGGCAATGTTAGCGAGGAAGGGGGCTGTTGGAATTACGCCCTTCATCCCAAGGATACCCTGAGAGCCACTGCACATGGAACCAATGCGGGCAGCTTTCATGTTAGCCTGGGGGAGGGTAGCAGTTGGAATTACCCCTGTATGGTTTCAGTTCAATTGGCTCAGGGATTTACATGGTCATGTGTTCCACCACATACCCATCAGATTGGTATATCACGCAAGGACAGCAGGCAGAGTGTCTTTGATCGTGTGGATGGACGAAATCCGCTTCGCAGATGAAGAAGCATGAATACAGAGACGGACTTGGTCCATCGGTATCTCCCTCCCTGAGCTTCGTTGCGGACTTTAGTCACTTTTTGGGTATGCAACCATTTTTTGTGGTAAATAAGAGGTGCGGTGACCGTTTGTTGGCCAGTCCACTCGATCGGAAGCGAGGTATTGGTATCACATTCCGGGTCCTACCAGTACGGAGTTGGGATCCTTATCCAGGCGGAGACGGCTGGTTGCGTTTGCCAGCCTCTAACCCACTGCAAGGCGTCAAAGACCAATTGCAACATACGAAGGCTTATTCATCTTTGAGCGCTCTCAATAATTAGGTGGCTTGTGGAAGGAAACCTTTTCCTGGCTGCCTCAGTTTGGTTTTAGAGTTGTTGGCTCTCTGCGGGGAATGACGGCTCCTATGAAGCATCCCTGGTTGCCTTTGAGTGGATCCATTGGTTCATTCCCAAACCCACTGATTCCCTACCGAGAGCAACTGGGGTTATAAGCCGAAACCCTCCATTCGGCAGCAGAACGACTCATATCGACCTGACAGCGAGTTGGCCATGCTCGTTTGCATTGGAATCTGGGTGTTCTCAACACAGTTCCCCCAGAAGTGGCTGTCTTTCTTTTGCTCACTTGCCGAAAGCCGACCTTTTAACATTATCCATATTTAATCAAGGTTCTCAAAGGTGATTGCCGTGAATTTCTAGGTCCAAACTGGGCAAGTTTGGTTTCCCTCTAGATATCAACATCAAGTCTTGAAACTCTCATTATTCGCATTATTGCCAAGGCTTTCCATCTTCTCCACGAGGACGGCAGAGAATGTCTGTGACTGAGTGCGCGTGCGCGACTTGACAAAAGGAAGGGGTCGGTTCGTTTCTTTGGATAACCCCGGATGTATGTGCCCGCTCAGAAGAGATTCCTCTTGGAGGTATGCCAATCTGCCCCCGCCCCCCAAACAAAGCACAAAGACAAACAGACAGACACAGCGGCAGCATGACCACTCCGAAATGCGGGGCCTTTTTCGCGACCCCTTCCAAAGCGTGGGACCTTCCAAAGAGAGGCGCAGTCTTTGTTGATCCTTCGTTTGCTCTACAGCAGAGTCCCTTTTGGGTTATGTCTAGAGATCATGGATTATTTTATTGGCTAGACAGCCCTTTTTGTGGGCGCGGGGGGGGGGGTTGGCTAGACTGCCAGAAGCGCAAGGATACTCACTGAGGGAACAACAACCAGGGAGGTCGAGCAGGGGTCATGTCGAAATAGCATCCTGCATGCCTATCACGCAGTGGGACAGTGTGAGGCGATTCAGGCAATGAAGCTCGCCAATCGAAAGTCATGTAAAATTTCACCCTCGCCGCCACAGGATTCCACGAAAGCCACAATTCTCAAACAGGGGCCCCAGTGCTCCTGGAAGAACAGGGGCACCTAAGGGACAGTCGCTGGGCTGGTGGTGACTTCGACGCCTTCGAAAGCTAAAGGTCTTGCGGTTGTCGCAATTGAATGTTGGCGGATTTTGTTGGGCGCTGAATTTTAAACCGCCTGGTTGCCTAAGGGAGGGGTCCCCTTTTAGTAGGGATTCATCACTTTTGGAGGGGTTTCCACCCGTTATGAATGTAAGTGGTCCTGTTTTTCGGACGCTTCGTCACAGGCCCAAATTGGTGGAGGTGTTTTTGTTTGTCCAGGGGCCTTACACAAGACTGAGTTCATGGTTCCTTGGATCACCTCCATTTCCCAGGGCTTGATTTATCAATCGTCAAATCGGTATCATCCCAGGTGAAGAGCAGTTTTCAGCTGTATCACTCGAGTTCATGGACTCGATTATTTCGGGGGAAGACCATTTTACCGGCAAACAACAAGTTGGGGAAACATGCGCGGCCAGTCCACTCGTAAAGTGATAGTTTAACCAGCCACATCCAACCAGCCAACTCTGGTAACTTGCGGCATGCGGAAAGAATGGTTGCAACTTGCAACCTTGAGATTTTCACGGATTCTCGCAAGCCACAACCTTGTCCAACCACATTCTTGTTCAACCACATGTTGCGCCAACCTCAACTCAAAGAGTAAGTTCATTGAACTTAATTTAGACCCGGATTCAGAAATGTGGTGGATGCAGAAAGCGGCCAAAGAACATGTACCAAGGGCCTGTTCATCCCGGTTCCCTTTGTTCTTGTTCGGATTACTTGGTCAACAGAATGAATTCCACAGGTTTGAGTTGAGTATTCCCCGCGGACCCAAATCGCCATCATAGCCCCCTTTTTGGGTGCATGTTAAGTCCCCAACAGCTGGAAGCCATGGGGTTTTTGCCCAAGTAGGCTTTGCGCTGCTTGGAGTAGTGTTTTGCAGGGTTCCAACAATTTTGGGGGGGCGCTGTTGGGGATACCACCTGGGCTTCTTTTTTCAGGGGAGCAATCTGATTGGATCTCGCGGGTTCCCACCACTTGCTCCTCAGTCGGTGCTCTTCGGCGCTGGCATCAGCGCTTGTGCCAAGGGGGAGAAGTGGGTCGGGAACTTGGCCCCGCAAGCGCCACGGAAGCCTAAGTGTCCTTTGGTACCTGATGTCATGTCGGGCCAGTAGTGAATACTGTGGATGGTTGCGAATCCAACGCACCACCATTCAGAAGGTCAGGTTTCAGATTTGATTCCCACCGGAAATACCAACATACAGATTTCAGAGTGATGCGAAATAGATTTCGTCCATCCACAGTAGGGAGGTAGGTCAGAAAAGTGTTCAACCAGGATTATTTGCCCTGCTATGATAGACGGGGAGGAAATGCGTGAAAATTGTTTTTGGTGGGACCGGGGATGCGAAAATGTGATCCCACACGCTGGCAATGATAAAAACTAATACTACTAGATAATTCCAATCAGTTCTAAACTGCTCAACTAATACCAATGAGTACCAAACCAACACATCAATACTGAGCCAATCCTGAGACCACAAAACCAACAGAGCCCCCGATCAGTCAAGTTCCTTCTGAAACCCTTTTCTAATACAGCCGCCCAGACATGTTGTCAAGGGGGTTGTACCGGGCAGCCCCAAAAAATATAGTAAATATTATAGAGAAATAACAAGTCTTCGGGCAACTGAGGAATAGTAAGCGACAACTAAGCCAGGGCTAAAGACGACTGAACCAAAACGAATAAGTACTCTTCCAATACTGAACCAGTATTGCAATACTAAGCCAATTCTAAACAGTATCGGACCAGCTTAAAGACTACACAACAATTGTAACTCAGTACCAAGCAGTACTTGCTCAGAGACTACTTGATTGGCTCATCTCTGAACCCAATGTGCTTTTAGGTTTCTTCCCATTGACCCCCGCAATTTGTTTGAGGCGGGGCGGGAAAGGGGGGATCACTCCCCCACATTACTTAAGATGATCAACATGGGTCAAAGTACGTCCTTAGAAAGTACTACCGACCCGTTTAAACGGGTTCCGATCGCTTGAAGCTTGTGCAGGACAATCCTCTATTGCCTCTATAGGCTGTGATACAACCAACACGGGTGTCCTTTTGATCGGTTAGTTGGTTGGAAGTAGATGGGCAAGCCACTGGCTTAGATTGGTTGTATGCCATCCATTTAGCAGGGAAACCTGAATCGAGTTTTCTCAAAAGGTCACCCATGACAACCAATGTTTGTTTTTTTGTGGGCGGCTCCAGAACCTGAATCCCGCCTCTCAGCCGCAGATTTGTCCGTGCCGAAATCGGGGTCTCAAAACACACAAGCTTGAACAAGGTCAAGGGCTTGTCCTGTAGGGATGGGTTTTGGAGGTATGGAGGTTACGTACCACTTATATAAGGGGTATATGCTATGTTCAAGCTTATACAATAAGTGGCAACAAGCATCCATACTTCAACACCGATACCAGGAACTGCCCTTGACAAATTGGATGGGCTGCCTTTGGATCTGGTTACTGGTGGACATATTGCACAAGGTATCCATCCCTGGTGCGAAATTTGGTCTGCTGTCCATCCACAAAACTAGACCCTTGTGCTGGGTTTTTTTGGGGCAACCCTGTCAGCAATATGTTATTCAATCCTCGGGGTTGCATAGCCTGGGTTCTGTGAACCGTACTGTGGATGGTTGCGAACTCCAATTCGCGCCACGAAATGATACCACGGGAATGAAGCCATAACGCCTGTCGTGTATGTCCCATCATTCTCAAGTTTCTTAGGCAGAGCGAAATGGATTTCGTCCGTCCACATTATGTTTAGATTTACATCTGCTGTGTAGTTCTATACACCTGTTGTAAATGTCTGGCATGGTTACATGATATATGACTATAATATACATAATGTTACATATACACATGTTTTATACGTGTCCCTCAAGCCCTAGTACCTAACATGGTTTCGAGTACCCCCAAAAACCACTACTATATCCCCGGGGGTAGTGGTTTAGGGGTAGAGGAAACCATTTTACATAGTTCACATGGCTTCCTTTACGTGTAAACTCTTTGGCCTCAGGATCTTGCGCTGCAGCTGCTGCATCAAATGGAAGGCACGGGTGTTTTTTCTCCGAACTCGGCCAATTCCGGGGCCTGGAGATCCCACTCTTCAAAGAGGGTGGCAGCTGTGTTGGTTGCCTACTAAAGAGGCAATGTCGACTCAGGATGCTCTCAAAGGCGAAAAGCACACTGGCTAGTTTCCTCCATGTACTTGGGCGCAGAATGGTTTGCAGATCGGGTCAGAAAACCCCCCCTAATAGAGGCCAAGAGCCATAATACTCACAGAAAGGGCGGGAACTTGCTTGAATCACTGTGAAACAACGATCTCCCAGCGCTTTTGGTGCGCTACTCGATGAGAACTTACACAACGTTTCTTTGACCGTTGGAACCACGTGGCAAAAGCCAAGTGATACCAAACTTGTGACGTCCACAAATAGACTCACCTGCGGGATTATTTGAGGTGTTTAGCCCCCTAAATGGCCCCTAATCAACCAGAGCATACCAATTCTGAGTCGAGATTACTGCTATAGCAAGTGACCAGGGAACGCCAAGCTGGTTGTTTGAATGGGTGGTTTGGGGATTTGAACCCCTGGTTCTTGTAGCGAAATGAGAAACCACCCAAACCAATCCAAGTCAATCCAAACCAAGCCAATCCAAGCCAAGGCAAGCCAATCCAAGACATTCAGGGGGAAACTGAGCGATTCAAGTCGCAGTCAAAATGGGGCTGGGTTGGTAGGTTCTGGGGAATGAACTTCAGCCGGTTATAACCCCACTAGGGGCACAACCAGCCCAAATCAGCGGCCAAGTACTTCTAGGGCTTGTTTTGTTGACCACTGTTCGGTGTGTTTCAAAGCACGTTTGGAGCGTGATGAAGTGTTGACAAGCTTCAAGTCGGTTGTTGATTGTTGTCTAAGTGGGTGTGTCTCTTTTTGTGGACACACCTAAGAAGGTGGCTTTCCTGTGATTTGCGTCTTAAAACCAACAATACCAACAAACAGATGGTTTCCCATGGTTTCAAGGTGGTGCAGGATTTCGGCCATCCACAGTAGGCACCCAAAATGGAACTCTGGTGAATGTGAACCTGCGGTCTCCTTGTGGTTTAATTTTGACCCACAAAAAAGTACATGCTGTATGTGCTAATGCATGCCGATGTAATGTTATCCCCCAGATTAATACGCCCCCGGTTGATTAGTGGGGGGGTGCCCTTTTAGTGGGGGGTTGAACACTTTTGGAAGGGAACACCCCCGTAGAAATAAGACGGGTCGGGTCGATTCATCCGGGAGTTCACTTATGAATTTGCCATGGCTCGGCTTGTCGATCCTTTCGCTTGCGGTTTTTGGTACCTTCGGCTGCATATGGAGCAAACGACTTGTGTCCCACACTAGGTCCCCCAGTAGTGCCCTTTTACCCTTTTTTAGGGGAGGGTTCCCCTACTAAAATAGACCACCGAAAAAAGGGTACCCTTATTCTAACCTCTCTCCTGGAGGATCTAGCACAGAAGGTTGTAAGAGTCAGCTGTATCGCCAGATTGCCCTGAAAAGAAAAACCGTACTGTGGATGCTCGAAATCCATTTCGCACCGGGATGACGATTCCCCTGTAAATACCAACGAACAAATGGTGTCTCATGATTTCAATCTGGTGCAGGATTTCGTCCATCCACAGTAGGTCATGATTCTATCCACAAGTGAGGAATGCCCACTAAAAGGGGATACCCCCCATAATCTCAACCACGGGTTGAGTAATCCGGGCCCCCCACTATCACATACGAAGATCCAAGATGCCGTCCCACTTCGCGTGTTCCGGCCCAGGCGCAGAAATGGAACGGCTGGACCGACGCCCCATTTGCACGAACATCCCACATGAGTTCAAGCGGCTCACCGCAAACTTGTCCTGTCAACTTTCAGTGATGCTCTCCCTTGCCACCCAACCCAACCAACCCAACCCAAGCAACCCAACCCAACCAACCCAACCCAAGCAACCCAACCCAACCAATGGGTTTTTGACTGCATCCCCGCGAAACCCACCAGCTCCTTTTGACGCATCGCAGGCCGCAGGCTTGAGCAGACCGCCAGGAATGCCCAGCTCGGGTGGGGGGATTTGAACGTTGGGCCCAAAGCACGAGGCGGAATTCCTGAGTGCAACTGCCGCCACTGATTCCTTTCAGCCCAGTTGGGTTGCACGGTAGTGCACACTCGTTTGTAAGCTTCCATGTCAGTGTGCGAATGAATTGGGTTCAGTGAGTGCATGTTTGGCAATACGTGACAGGAACCACGTGGGCGACTTCTTCGGTGGGATAAGACCAAAGACACCCAACGGTGCTTCCTCCTTTGTCTCACGCATCCTGCGATGGAGCAACATGCCTTTGGATGGTTACCCCGTGACAGTAGATGGCCCAAGTGCCCTTACGTGAGTGGATGGCTTACTCTCTGAGTTCCGGGACTCTAAGCTTGCTGGTACAACAATGTTAGTGGCGGTACTTTGTTTGGCCCATCCACTATTTTTTCACCCATCTGTACAAAGTCATCTGCCTTTGGTTCTCATAATTAGCTTCCATTTGGCTTGTGTTTCATTTACCCCGGTTGCTTTTGAAGGGAAGCCACCACTACTGGCAGTACGTGTGATTTTGCCAGGGGGCAGTCTGGGGCCCAACAGTTTACACTTGTTCTCGCCGGTGAACTCAGGTACAAGGGTCTTCCTATTTTGCTGGTTCCCAGTCTGGATTTGCAAGTTGAACAAATTGAAACGGCCCAAAGGAATCGAAGAAATACGGGGGAATATCATGGTATATGGGTGTGTGTGTGTGTGTTTTGTCAGCGACCCTCCCCAAAGAGAATGGTGTTGTTCCTTTGGTACAAAAAAGGGGGGTACCCTCAACAAAAGACGAGCGACCTCTTTCGAGCATTACGGGAATGTACTGTGGACGGACGAAATTCTGCACCACCTAAGAAACCATGTAAATACCAACAACCAATGGTTTTCCATGGTTTCGTAGGTGGTGCAGGAGTCCGTCCATCCACAGTATGACGGGTCTTTGCACCCGACACCGTTTGTTTGTTTTTTCTCCGGGCGTCACGCAGATTCCAGTGCAAACGGGCATGGCCCATTTCGAGTCTGAGGCCATCTGCCGGAACAGCGCCCTGAGCGCTTTGGCAGCGGCTGGGCAGTGGCAACGAGCGTCTCTTGGCCAGACGAGTGGCTTGAGCGACCCCAAAGCGAGTCGAGCGGAACTACCCTGAAGCGGTTTCCCTGAAGTTTGGTCCAAGGCTTCAAGCTTAGTCTCGTATGTCCGGGTCCAAGCTGGGCTGAGGCTGAAGGAGCTTATAAACATGGTTCTAAGCCAACTAACCCTTCATGTCCCACTTACCCTGTTATAATCTACTTCCCCTGGTTCTAACTGCTCGGGGCCACGCCCGACCGTGATCTTGCTGTCCGAGAGTGAAGCTGCTGGTCCGATGCAAAAGACGGGGCGCGCATAGTCGTGAGCGTATGATTGCTCAAGCAAACACATAAATGACTAGACACGTACGTGCATACATGTCTACATACGTGCATACGTGCAAAAAATGCTTCCCAAAACACCTACAGGCCGTTTTAGTAGCTGGTTGTATGACATGGTTTAGGGAGTGGGGGTTGTAGTGAGGCTCTCATAAGCCATCATAACCCTGGTGGAGCCAAAAGTCACTGGGGCCCAACGCTCAAGGGTCAAAGTGATTGCTCTTTGGGGAGCCAGACAGGAGCAGCAGTCAATATCGCACTTACCAAGTTACCACGTGGGTACTCAGATAGGTCCGACTGCACATTCACGATGGGTTTTTCTGAGGACCTACTTAATCCAATACGACTGGGCCCGGTGTTCGTATGTGGTGGGATGAATTTAAAACCAACAAAGCCAGAAGGGTTGTGCTTTGTCGGCACGGGTGTCAGGTACAAAGTTATGGGGCAAAGCAAAAGACCCGGGCGGATAAACACAACAAGCCCGGATAAAAACAACCCAGACTCCCACCGTGTGCCCCATGAATGCCTTCCTGAGAAGGAAAAACAGCCATTTGGCAGTTCGAAGACCACCCACCCGGTATATGACTCACAGATTGATGTAAAGCGGGTGATACGGTGATATCCCTAACAGGTTAGGTGTGGCTTCCTGTTTCGGCCAGAAAAAAATCGCTTTGTTCCCAAGGCAACATGGATTTCAACAGCTTGACTTTGCAGGCATGCCGTTTTGACGGTGTTGAGTTTCAACAACTTGGACAAGCAACAAGACTGTTTTGTGGCACTGCATACCCCAATATTCAGATACCCCTCAGTTCGGCAGTGGGTGGTTTGGATTGGTGGTTTGGGGTAAACGGGAAGCCATCCCTCCAAACCACCAATGCAAACCACGCTTGTTAAGGGGAAGCTGACATGTTCTCACCCCAAGCGATGGTGGAAAACCTAAGGGGGTTGGCCCAAACCTCCAAGAGACGCCGATTCGCACGCGCAGCACGTGCGCAGCTAGGCTTGCGGAGTGTGGGGACCTGGACACGCTGGGCGTGGCGGAGCTGGCGAGGCCGGAACGGACGGTCTTAATTGGTGCTGTGGATTGACGCGAAATCCGCACCACCTAAGAAACCAATTTGAAACCATGGTTGACCATCGTTCTCTTAACAAACCAGCTGTTTCCCCTTTGTTTTTGATGGTTTCCTGAAAAGAAGGATCCCTGGAAAGAATGGGGAAGGTATCCCTAGACCTTTTGTCTGCCGGTATTTACAGGGGAATCATCATTCCAGGGCTGAATAGGTGGTTGGAAATGGATTTCGGCCAGTATCGAAGGGAAGCCAAAGAAAAAACCCTTGCCATTTGGGGGGACAAATTCCTGCTTCGAGAAACACCCCCTGGTCTGTCCAGCTATTTGGCGGTTCAATTTCCAACACATGGAAGCTGACAAGAGGCTTTTGGAAGACCTCTTCGCTCACTCCCGTAGTTCGTAGACTAATTCTGTTTTGTTTGGGAAGACTACTACATGTTTTTTTGGCCAGTCAACTCAGGAAGTGAGCTGAAGGCTCATCACTTGGTTTGCACCTGAGAAAGGTTAGGATTGATTGATTTCCCTGCAAATACCAACAAAGGATGGCTGCAACCCTGGTTTTTTAGGTGGTGCGAGCTTGGATTTCGTCCATCCAGAGCACTGGCCTCGGTAGTTGTTTACCAAAGTCAGCCTTGAGGTGGGAGGTGAAATGGATTTTCTCCATCCACAGTAGGTGGTTTTAGGTGTGGTTGCTTTTTTAGTAGTAACCTACCAATCAGTTAATACAGAACCCCCCCCCAACTATGGCCCTCGTTTCATCTCCGAATGTGCCGGGAGCTGTTCCTCTTGTGTATGCTAACCTGTTCTTAGTCAACCAACTAGATATTCAGTACCCTTTGAGGATGGTTTTCGATAGGTTCTACTTGGTTCTCTTATGCCATTCCATACTACACCAAATCCACCCACCCATTCAACCATCCAGCCAGAAAAAAATGCTCCCTGAGCGGAGCAGATCGACAGCTGGGTGTGCTTGTTTCTTCGATTCGCCAAGTTAATGAGTTGTTGGTAACCGTTTGGTTATAGCCCTTTTCTACGTCCCCCGTGAATGTGGGGTTAAGTTTGTTTCGGGGTGAAATAAACCCAAGTGGCTAACCACGAGCACTAACTTGGCGAGTCACACATCCACGTATCCGGTTCCCTGCTGCGAGGTCGTGGTGTTGGGTGTGTTGCAGGCCCGTTTTGGACAAACCCGTGGGTGACTTGCATTGGGTAACCCCAAAATGGGTTGCCCTGGTAACTGGAAACATGAACTAAAACCTGCTGTTCAATTCCTGGTGGGGTGGTTCAAGTTTTACCCATACCCAAATGGGTGTGTCTTCTTTTGATGGTGCCCCTTTTTTGGTGGATTTAAGAGGAGACCAAGAGGAAACAAACCTTGTTGTTCGGGGGGGGGTACTCAACAAAAAGACACCCCCACATGGATCAACGAGGGGTTTGGGTCGGGTAAGGTACCGGGCTCCGCACCGCAGCTTAGCCGGTTTCGCCCTGACCGTTTCTTTTTCTTCTCAACGGACGGACCAAAAAAAAGGCGACCAACATCGACGTGTGCTTGAGGCTTTTTTGTCCGTGATGGGAAATCCACAATTGTTTGAGCCCAGTTGCAACCAGTGGATTCCGCCCCTTGGTGCAACTTTTGGGAAGGGTTCCCCTTTAACCTCAAGCAGCCCAAAGAGCATACCTGTTGTGTTGGATAGAAATCCTTTTTCCCATGGGAAACCACTGGACACCTCAGATATGGTTACATGACTTTCATTTGCTGAAGAATATGGTTTATTTTCCCCTGTTAGTTTTCAAGGGTATCTATCACTGCTGGACATATTATTTCACACACACAAATGGAAGATTAATACACACACACATTGATGTACTGGGGGTTTGGGTCCGGTGGAAAAGCTGGGAGTCCAGGAGCTGCGCGGTGGCCGGCCAGTGGCAGCGAGTTTTGCTCGGCACCTGGCACTAACAAAAACTGGGTCCGGTCTGACGGAGCACCTCTCAGTCCAGAAACTTCCATTTGCTTAAGAATATGTTTTCTTTGTTGCATGTTGCTTGGCTGTTAGGACTGAAAAACGTTTGGCCAACTCATGGGTTTTCCGTATTAAACCACTAGAGGATAGTCACTTTTAGCAGGGGAGCAGAAAGCAGCCGAGTTGTTTTTTTCTTTTTCTCAACGTTTCTGATCGGTGGCAAGAAATGGAGTTCGCAACCATCAGTAGGGTTTTTTCGTCAAGGACTGTTGGGCGCTACAACTCCGCAAATACCCGATTCCGAACACGGCGCACCGATTTTGCTTTTGATGTTCCTCAAAACCAGAAAAAGGGGGTACATACAGTCTTGGAAAGACACACTCATAGTTGCTTGCTTTCTGTGTTGGGGCATTTGCGTTTCAAAGGGAAGCCACTTTGGACGCCAGCTCGCTGGGTTCCGATGGTTTGTCTTGAGACAAGTCCGTGTCCATTGCGATTTTCTTAAGCATCACCTGCTGGGCCAGTTTCAGAGTCTTTTCATGTTGGTGTGATAGGAACCTTGCCCCAAGCCAAGCATTCCTCGCAAGAGATAAAGCCCCCCCTCCGAAAGGAACCTGGAATAACATGAGAGTGTGGTTCCTTTTTGAGGAATCGGACCCCCTAAATGATTCTCCTTTTGGTGTCCTTTCAAAGCCGCAAACGGAAGGGGGCACCCTCAACAGACGAGCCATGCATTCCCACAAAATACATGCGAGGAACCGTGCATTTACCCGTTCGGGGTCTACTACAAGGGGATCACCAACCAGGTGGCTCTAAACTCGAGGGACATGGTCCTGCTGCCTTAGGAGGGCAGGGTACCACGGAGATGCCGAGAATGTACACCGTCAAAGAGGGTGACCGGATTACACAGAAGGGGATGCTAGTCCGGACGCCCTTGAGGGGGAAGCTGGCCTGAGGCTGCTTGAGAACGTCAGGTCATGTGTGTTTGCCTTTTGAACCAGAAGCATGTGACCCAAGACACGGCTTTGTTTGCTTTATCTCCTTCTCGTTCTCTCTCTCGCTCCCTTGCTTGTCGCTCTCTCTCTCATTGTATTTTACTTGTTTCTTTACTTGTGTGCTAAGTGTTTCACATGATATATAGTGTCTTACTGTTTGTCGGTTGTATTATTGTTGTATTATCCCTGAGAATCCATGTAGGCAAATATGGCGTACATTGCAATGTAGCCATTTTTCGGGTACATTGGCAATGTAGCAAAAAAACGACAACATTCGTCGGATCCCTGTCGGATTGTCGAAATATAGCCAAAAAATGATACATTCGCCGAATCCCCGTCGAATGTCGAAATATTGCCTGAAAATTGAGGAGATTTGACGAAGCTCGTGTCCGATAGTCAAATTTGAACCCGAGTGTGGCGGAGTTTATTGAGCATATTTGTTTTTTCAGGGGCCCAATGATCCTGCTTGCTAACTTGCTCTATTTGCCAAAGCACTGTTGTGTAGCAACTTCGCTTTCATTAATTTGCACTTGCTTCAGCAAGTGAAAACACCGCGTTATTGACATGGACATTTGATGATGTTTGTAGCTAGCGATGGTTGAGAGCTTGCCATCAGACTCTTGCAAGTGTTGTTTTCCGGATGAGCAGGCTACGCCAAACAAACAAATCCACAATTGCGAGATTGATTCTGTTCGTGCATATGGGCAGTTCTTATGGGAGTGTGTGTGTGTGTGCAGCGTTGGTGCACTCTTATGAGAAAGCCCCTCTCAGTATTGAGTACGCAAACTGTTCGACCACTGGCACTATCGCTGCCAACCAACATGGGGTCGGACGTGCAACGCAAAGCCACCCTCGAGCTCTATTGCCCATGCAATGTAAACGTGCTTTGATCTCGAGTTATGCGTATTTGAAATGAAAACCCTACAAATTCAACATGCTCTGAGCCAAAGGAACGGACTTGCCGACCTTGAGCCGCATTGGAAAGCACAGCCATCTATCAACTGTCAGGGATTTATGTTACAACACTACAGCCTACACGCAATTGCAAGTATGGACATTTTGTTGGCTGTGCCGAATGTTTGAGATATGAGGAGCGCCGAACCAAATTGGCCTACCGAGTCGACTCCCAACTGCCGCCCAGTAACTGTTGGCCATTCAAGTGCGCTCAATCTACGCAGCAAGATGCCCAAGCATACCAACAAGAAACTCAAATTTTATCTTACCAAAAAACGTTATTTTTAATTCGCTAAGCAAAACATAGACATACATATCTTATGCATGTGCAAATTTATTGTGTATACACATGTACAAGACTTTAGGTACACATACAGCTCAACATAATGAATATCTAAGCTCAGAACATAAAGCAGTGTTCTTATTTGTAGGTTTACAATGACTGCATTGCGATTGGGCAGGCCTGGCGTTTTGCCGCTTGAGCATGGGATTTATGATGCTGCACGCGCGACATGTATGTCAATTATTAGGTTGCCAATACTAAGTGCTATGTAAACTCGGATAAGGAGCCACCAAGCTTAGCATGCATGTCTTCAGAGCTCTTGAGTTTTGATTGGCATGCTGGAGACTCAGCATCCGGATTGTCTACTCGCATCAGCTCTGGGCTCGCATCAACCATGCAAAAAGCTCAGTCTTGCCTATTGAAAGCTTGCCGCGCAAGAATGAACTTCCCTGTCAGCAGAGGACTCTTCAATGAAGTTCGAACGTCTACTAAAGGCCCAACAAGTACCTATTTTTGCTATGTGGCTCCCCAAAAGCAGTTCAGCAAAGGTCCGTTTATTCCCCCTGGCTGACCAAAGTATGTCCCTACCATGTTCTTAGCGATTTGGAGCAAACGACCCAACAAATTTCGTTTGTTTTTGCGTGACTTCTTCTCGGATTGTGTTCCTGTCCTTTGCTTGTGCAAACGAAAAACCGTGATTTGGCGTGATTTGGCGTGAAAAGTTGTCGGATTGTCTTCTTATTTTTGCTTACGTTAACGGAAAACCGTGAAATAGCGTGAAATAGCGTGAATTTTTGCCGGACTGTGTTCGTGTGTTGTCCACGCGTTTTACGAGAAGCAACGCGTGATTTCGCGCGATGACACGTCGGACGAGGCTCGATTTTTGTTGGCGCCGTGAGTTGGAAGTGATGTGGCTTGATTGTTGGCGTCAGCTGGCAAGCTGGCCTAGAAACAGCGGAGAAACGCTTGTCAAACAAATGGCTTACTAGCGCGTATGCCCAATGAGGGCAAAGCACTGAGCCCAAAACATTCGGAGAGAAGCTGACAAGGACATGTTTAATCAAGGAGAGCATTAGACAAACATGCTACGTGTGCCTTTTATAGTTGGGTTTCATCGATAAACCAAGTCCTTGCAAAGCAACATACGGGGCTTGGACTGCGTCATGTGCGTCCAGTCTCAATCCTTCTCCTCAAGACCGCCGCTTGAGCCCTTCCCAGCACATCTCGTTTGACATCCACGTTTGTTAAGTACAGCAATGGTTTTTTGTTAAGTCTGTGAATTTTGCATTGCGGCATGGGGGCATGGCAGGTTTAGAGCCTTAATCACTATCTGACCAGTGAAATTTCGCTTGGCAAGCAGTTGCCGCTCGAATGGTGATTGGGAACTGCTAGCAGGCTAGCATGCGTTTAAAGTGAGCCTCCTGGAAAGAAATGAAACACCTGCTTTGAACAACCAGGGCTTTTTAAGTTGGGCCTGCGCTCTGGACTGGGTTGCGGCATGGTGTTAAGCAAGTATTTGGTTGGAGATGTGATTGTTGGAAATTAGACCCCTTACCTTCGGTCGACGGTTTATGGCCCGCGAACAAGCTTGTCATGATGACCCATCGCCCCTGCGTAGGCACGCATCAAACATAATAGCAACTAAGCTCGCAAAGGCAGAGGTTGCAGCATGCAAGCAATCAGGAAGCAACACGCATTTAAGCTACACACGGGCAAGTTGAAAATTGTGTTCCTGTGGACAACAACGATGTAGCATCATTCTGCTTCATCGTTTAGTTTGGGGGGTATCAACCCCCATGAGCGTTTGGATAGGTTTTGTTGAGAGTGACTGGCGGGATCTCCTGCTGCGAGGTGTTTTGCAAGGAGTTGTTGTCCTCCATGCGCAATAATTATGTGTGTTGAGTGATCTTTGCTAACCGGCGTTGCCTTAGTGTGATCCTGCGCTGGAAATGTGCTTGATCATGGCGTGGCCTGAAAAGTTTGAACTATCGCACACGTGCTTCGTCGTCACACTGTTTCGTCAAGCAAGCCAGCTCATCAAAAAGGTTAACGTTACAAACGGAAGCCCTCAGCGGGATCTGCTACACTATGCTAGTGGGTTCCTTCTTTTGCGTGCCAGGCAACCAACATTTACTGACAATGATAGCCGGGGTTGGCTCGAGTCATTTTGTGCCCTGTTTGTGCCCTGTTTGTGCCCTGTAGTTGTTGCCAGTCATTCGCAGTTTATGTTTTGTCCGTACATCAATTTGCGGCGCGCCTTTGTATTTTCCTGCATTGTGAGTTAAGTTAGCCGTCGGAAAGGCATTGGAAAAGGGTGGTTGGAGGGCGTCGTCGGATAGAGTCGTCGAAATTGAGGCGAGCTTGTTGTCGGAAGGCTTGTCGGAACCCTTGTCGGAAGTTGTCGGTTTGAATGTCCCCCAAAATTGGCTACATTCAGGTTTATCGGTCAATGTAGTTGAAAAACGGTGGCGTCGGCCAATGTAGGCGATATATGCATACATTGGATTGTCAGGGTATGGTATTATCAATGTTGATTTGTTGATGTATTTTAACGCAACCTACTATTTATTTATCAACAATCGTATTTGTCCATCGCGTTTAGTCAGTTTATTTGATTAGTTTGTGTTTTTTGCTGTTTGTTTGTGTGCCCATCTTCTGTTATTTCTCTGTTTCTCGTTGTTTGTGTTCACGCTCTGCCCCAGGAACCTCGTCTTCACCATGGACCGCGTCTTCGGCTTGAAGCGGAAGCCCTGGCGGATGCCTGCGCCGAAACGACGCGCTTCGGGAGTTTCCTCGCCGAAGCAACACGAGGGGATCATTCAGCCCGTTGAGCCTGTAATATTTGCTTGCGAGAATGTTGAACCCATGCTACTCAACTAGGTCCCCCAGCTAGGCGCCCTTTTACCGTTTCTTTTTTTGGCGAGGGTTCCCCTACTAAAATAGACTACAGAAAAAAGGGTACCCTTCCCTCTCTGCTGGAGGACCTAGTCAACCCCTGTGTATTCGCAGGGGGTGTCCCTGGGTGTAGTGGGGAATCGGACCACTTTTGGAGGGGAACACCCCCCATATTAGTGAACTGGGGTTGATGAATATGAAATGGAATGAACCCTATAAACCATACAACTGGTGGTTTTCCTTTAAGGGCATCCACAGGTTCATTCCCTCATTTTTTACTGAGCACCAGAAAGTAATTGAAAGCAACCGTCTGCAACCGGGGCAATAACCAATTCCCCTTACAAAAATGTAAGCCGACAGTGGCCGCGGAAGAAAGAGACATCGAGCTCACCCTTCCCACCATGTCCAGAGTGTACCCCCGCACTCCAAATACCTACTCCGAATACCGTTTTTAAAAGGCAGTCTTGGAACAGCCTGGTTTTTCATGATCCATACCTCTTTTAGTAGATGTTGGCATGGCCTAGAAAGATAATCCGGTATTTGCGGTATTTGGAGGTTACGGGTTGGAGGTTTGACAGGTCCAGAGAACGGCGAGCACAAAATTCGGAGCAAGTTGTGGGACGGCGGAACCTGAAATAGCAGCCTCGCGAATGGTGGTTGGTTTAAAGGGACAGGAAGACCGGTTTGCCATTTTTGGGATCCCCGAAATACAGACACACCCATATTAGTGCGACCGATTTCACCATCCAGGCCCCTTTAATAGTCCAGGGTGCAGAAATTGACTGTTTGACAACCAATCCGCGCCGAAGCCGGCTTTTCTGTTTTATTACTTTTTTACGAGGCGATTTCCAGGGCACTTCAAGGATGGACAGGCGGCGTCTAGCCAGGTTTAGGCTGAAACTGATGGCAAGGCCACTGAACGGGCAGAAACACGGCCAGCGGGAGGTGTTCCCCGGCGCCAGCCGGTGAAGGTGATATGTGAACATGCAGGAAGCGGTCCGATTCTGTTGGGACGAATCCTTTCTTGGCCCGCCTGAGTTTGGCCAACTCTTGAACCCAACCCCTAGTTCGGGCCAAAGTTATCCTTTGGGGAAAGTAGCCAAAACTCCCTTTAAGTGACGGGATGCTTCATGGGGAAGTGGACGACAAGCAAGGGTTGAATGCCCAAGCTTTTTGACGCAGAGGGCGTTTTGCATGTTCTTGCGAACATTTCATGGAGTCGAGGCCGGACGCGCCTTTGCTGGCCTTGCTCTTCGACTGCCTTGAGACCTACCAGACAGGCGAGGGCTTCAATTCAGGTGAGCGCCCTGCGCCGAAACCCAAAACCAATTCGCAGTGGCCATAGGTTCTACCTCGCTTTGGGTTTTAGAGTAAGGCCTACAGGTTTGTGTGGGTCCAAAATATCCCCAAAATGGCTTGTTTCTACAGGTCTCCTTAAAAGATACATTTTGCCTATTTCCACCAAAATAAAGGGAAGCCACCATTGACAAGGAAATGTGAACAAGGACCAACAGCTGCGGCGCATCGTGGAATTCTGGTCTGAGAGATGGGTTTCGGGCGCGGATTCCCACAGGAATCCAGAAACTGTTTGGGCCACGCAGTCAACTGTGCCCTCTTATGTCCCCTTTTGGGCGGTTTTATGTGGTTGAAGCGTCGCCATTCTACGCCATTGGTTTTTCGTTTCTTGGCGTGATGTTGACAAGGAAGAAGCAAGAAGCAACCACACTATCCCTTTCTGGTCCGCTTGAACTAAAAGTCTCAAAAGGTGATCACCTTGTATTTCTAGGTCCAATCTGAGCAACTGTGTTGTTGCGCTTGGCTTGAGAAGGTGTCGGAAGCAGCCGTTGCCGGCACCAACATGAAGCCAACCGTAGGGTTTATTCACATGTTCTGGGCATGGCATTCATCGACAGCGAATCATTCTCCACACCCTCTGGAAATGCGGAAGGAAACACCCTCCTCACCCTCCTCCACAAACATGAAGCCTCACTGGGGTTCCTGGAACATTTGCCTTAGGTGCCCCCCCCCTCCCCTTGTGGGTTCCATGTTGGGCCAGCCCTCACGTTGCCTTAGGGCCATGTGTTCTGAACGCCGCGTTCGCCATTTGATCCCTATTAGGAGGGTAGTCCTTACCCTTGGGGTCAACGAATCTCTTAGCAACCAAACCAAACCAAGCCACACCATTCCATGCCATACCAAGCCAAGCCCAACCAGGCGACCGACCGACCGACCAACCAAGCAACAGATGGGCGTTCATCCGTTGTGAAAAGCTGGGTGTTAGGACCCTTTTCTGTGATACCAAACCCCCCTCACTGTGAGAACATCTTGGCATGGGGATGGCGCCTACTTGTCTTTGGTACTACACGGCTCTGCGTTTGGTGGTCTTTCTGTGCCTCGCTACTAGTTTTTCAGACGGAGAGAATCCTGGGCTGTCCAAATGCAATCCGCAAGACCCTTAGCTTGAGTTATGCAAGGAACCGCCGCTTCATAGTGGCCTCCCTCTAGGGATTATGGATTAGGGTTGGCCCGCTGAGAAACTCACGGTGCGGAATAGAGTCCGTGAACTGGGGATTTCAAGAATGCAAAAAGGACACACCCAAAGAAACGGAGTGAACTGGAGAACACCGTTTGCACATCACTCTCCCATTTGACACGAACCTGACTGGTTGCTGGTTGCGACCCATTTGCTTTCCTGACCTTTGTTTAACTTCAGTGGGGTTTTGGTCCCTTGGCCACTCGTGGCTGAACAAAACTTCGCCTTTGTCCTTTTGTTTTCCCTTTCAACCAGCAACCCGGATGTTCCATTTGCTTTCAACGGGTTGTTTGTTCCTGACGGGGAAGTCGTTTGGCCCAAGTCTCAAGTTGGCGGTTCCTAGCCGTCCCCTTCGTGTTTTTTTTCTTCAGGTGTTTACGGTTTAGTGGACAGCCCCGTTCGCCAGGCTTTCTGCCGCAGCTGGCTTTCTTGGCCCAGGTGCGAGGGATCACGTGGAAGATGGTGGCTCGTGCTTTTGGTTTTTTGGAATCGGACCACCAATGGGTAGTTGTCCTTCGGGTTTCCTTTTTTGAATCCAGCAGGGGCTAGAAACCTTCGAAACACGACACCCAGCCAGATGGTCTTGGACTTAGGGCCGCTCTCGTGACGAGGGCAACCGCCTTGAAATGATAAAGTAGGCATGTCCCCATTCAAAATATGCATTTTTTGCAAGAATCAAAAAAGTGGACAGGGGGGCTTCAAGAGAAAGATCATCTTCACAGGCGTTTGGTGTCACAGAACGAGTTATTCTCCGCATGTATGCGTGCGACACACAAAGGGACCCGAATTTACGTAGTATATTGTCATATGTAATGTTGCGTTCCTATGAGCCCCTTCGCGGTTGACGAAGCACGAGCCTATTTGGGTCCCAACTCCATTTCAATAATAACAACAGAGTGACATCCGATGTACTTGTAAGGATGATGACACGTGTTTCTTGACACGCGCTGATTTGAAGTGATAGAAAGTCACCAAGACCTTTTGTGGGGTTCAATCGCTTCCCTCGCACACTGACAAAGCGTCGAGCCATAGCTTCCCTTCTCACTCTGAGTTCCGGGGGCTCCTTGACGGACGTCACTTGTTGGGTTTGGTTGCCTTCCTTCTTTCTGCGGTCACAATGTTCCAGGTTACTTTTCTTGGTTGCCATCCACTTGGGAAGTGAGTTTTGTTCCATTGAAGGTGAGTTTCCATTGGTAGAGGGTGGTGAGATACCGGGGAACTCCTTCAAAACTGTCTTATACATTGTCGGGTAGACCAAATATAGAACAGGTTCAGACAACTGGGGAACACGACTACCGAGGATGGACGCAAGCCTGAACCATTTGGGATGGAAACCCTATGAATGCCGGATGAAACACCTATATACCCACTGTTTCAATTTGGTGCGAAGTGGATTTTGTCCATCCACAGTAGGGAACTATGGATGTCCTGTTTAGGCTAGTTTGGTTCAAAGTTAAAAACACTAACTGGTTGAGATTGGGTCTATTGTATCAAAAGGACACCTATGTGGCTGTGGGTCAAAACCAATGGGATCCCATTTAGGGGTAGGTGCACCACCCGTTTCAGAACCTATTTTAGTGGTTAGATTGGGATGTTCACTGGGGGTACGATTTGGCTTTTGACCCATGGCCATGTAGGGCACCTGGTTTTAGGTTAACACCACACCGTTCATGCGGCAGGTGAGTCTCTTGCAGCTGCCGGTGCGGCAAAAGCAGGCAAAAACACCGCGCTTTGATGGAGCGCTGTGTGAAGAATAATATTAAGAAGGGGATTATTAATTTGGGTTCAGCTGCTTGCGTCTTTTTTGAGGGTAACCCTTGTTTGGAGGCTTCAAAAGGAAAACCACAAGGAATCCGCCATTATTCTAGGGGTTCTTTTCAACCATCGTTCTTAAAAAGGAAAAAAACAGCTGTTTCCCCAGGGTTTTGGGTGGTTTTTTAGAAAGGATGCCTGGACAGAATGGGGAAGGTACACCTACATGAGTTGTGTATTGCCAATTCCAAAATCAGTCTTGCCAAGACTTAATGATAACATTATCAGTAGCTAGAAAGTACAAGGGAATTATCTAACACAATGCTTTGGGGACTGCTCGCTTATGAAGGCGCCGCACCCTTAATTCAGATTTGGCTAAATATAGCAATCAATGCGTTTGGTCTCAGAGTTTCTAGATATACAGATCTCCGGATTGGGGCTTGCAACAGACAGTGGGTTGCCTGACACCACCCAAAACAGTCCTGTTTGGTTTCACCAGTGTTTCTTGTTTTCCTCTACTACCCTGCTATCTCACCCGGATCTCAGCTGGGGTCCCTTACCTGGCCAAAAATATGAAGACCGTGGCTCGCAGGGTGTTGCATGCCAGCTTTCAGGTGATGGCCGTCAGGGCATTGCTTGATTTTCTGTCGGAGAGCCGAAAATTGGTTTGAGCCAGCGCAGCTCATGAATGGCGACCAAAGGAAGGGTGCTTTATGTGCTTCAAATGGGCGCCGAAAGCGCGGCATTTTTTTCCCCTGTCCTTTCAGGGTATGCACACGTCAGGCAAAAATCCACGACTGGCCCAATATGCTAGGCATGCCGCGCATGCTGCCATGCTCTATAGACTCCAACTTGATTGTTCTTGGCAAGTTTTGAGCTTGTTTTTTGGTTTTGTTTTTTGAGGTGTTTAGGTTCTGTTCATTTTCAGTAGGGGCTGCACAAAATGATTCTTTTTGCTACCAGGGTGATGAACCAGTTAGGCCCGGGTACGAGAGAGTATGGTCCACTAAAAACTTGGTGCGTGTGGGTGTGTCTTGCAGTAGTCCCCAAAAATTGGTGTTTTCCTTTTGGTTTCTCTTCAAACACAAAAACGCGGTACCTTTAAAAAGGCACACCCAGGCGCAGTACACGTGCCAAGATTACAATGCCGCGCAGATGCGGGAGCGGCTCCAGGATGACCGAAACTTCGGCAGTCAGGAGACTACAACACCAAGCGTCAGGCGATATCTATTTACCTGGACCCTCAAACTAGCCTCACAAATAGGAGTATGGCCAACCAATACTCTGGCATGCTTTGCCTTTGTGAACAGTAGCTCGCTTAATGTGGAGCCTGCAGAAAGTGAATCTGGTTTGGGTGGAAATTACCAGTAAACCCGGCAATTTTGGGTGGACACCACCAGTAAACCCCGGCAGTTTTGGGTGGACACCACCAGTAAGCCCCGGCAGTTTTGGTGGACACTACCAGTAAACCCCGGCAGTTTTGGGTGGACACCACCAGTAAACCCCGGCAGTTTTGGTGGACACCACCAGTAAACCCCGGCAGTTTTGGTGGAAACCACCAGTAAACCCCGGCAGTTTTGGGTGGACACCACCAGTAAACCCCGGCAGTTTTGGTGGACACTACCAGTAAACCACCGCAGTTTTGGTGGACACCACCAGTAAACCCCGGCAGTTTTGGGTGGACACCACCAGTAAACCCCGGCAGTTTTGGTGGAAACCACCAGTAAACCACGGCAGTTTTGGGTGGACACCACCAGTAAACCCATGCATTTTTGGGTGGACACGGTCAACCCCGGCAGTTTTGACACCACCTCTAGGTCCCCCAGTAGTGCAATTTTACTCTTTTTTGGGGGAGGGCTCCCCTAAAATAGACTACAGATAAAAAGTTGGTGGAGGACCCAGACCAGTAAACTGCATCCTTTGGGGAAATCCCGTGACCGCCAGCTCTGGTTCTCGGCCAGGTACAGGCGGATCATGCCGTGATCCTCGCCGATCTGCTGGCTGAGGATCGGTAGCGATCGATCCGCTCTTTTGGGCGCAGGTTTGGGGCTTGGGTCAAAGGGAAATCAACAGGAAAATCACCCAAGTGGAAATGGGCACCAGCTATTCTGACACAATTAGCAAAAAAGAAGAGAGCTGTTTTCCTTTCTCACCCCTCTTTCACTTGCGAGCTATCCGTGTTTTCCGTACGAGCGTGGCTTGCAACCAGTTTAGCCCTGCAAACTCCACCGTCGCTTTACCACTGGTTGGGTGTAGAACTAGAGGAGATATTTGAGCCAAACCGCCGCTTCCATTTCTGCCGAACGGCTGAGACCGCTTGAACCCATGTTGTTTGAACACCCTTGCGGTTACCCTCTAAAGGTGGCCAGGGGCTGGATGATCACACATATTTGTCGCAGCCCTGACTCAACAAAAAAGCACAACAAGTAGGTCCCCCAGTAGTGTCTTTTTACCGTTTTTTGGGGGGAGGGTTCCCCTATTAAAATAGACTTCAGACAAAAGGGTACCAACTTATTCCAACCTCTCTTCTGGAGGACCTAGCGAAACTTATTGGTTCTAGGATGGAGCGCCAACTCGAAGGCCATCCAGGCAACTCGCAGGCCGTCCAGGGGTAGGACCTTTTGGATCGAGGGTCGCGGCCACCGGGATCCCAAGTTTTGAGAATCTGGGTTCTCAGAGTCTGGTCGGGTAATGTAAACAGAGGAGTTGTGATTGGTTTGATGCTTTGTTTCTTATTCTTGGGGGATTTCATTTAAGAAGTGATCCGTTGCACCCATTCATCCGTCTTGTTTATTCATCCCGAGCTTGACGTTTCCGGTGCCTGTGTGTTTGTGTTTTTGCAAGCAAAGGGGTTTGGAGTATGAGTCTGGGCAAAACACAGTTCGACCTTGAAGGGATATTGGTGTTTGCAGCTAGTGCCACCCAATGAAGCTATATATTTGTTGGGTGGATTGTGTGAAACAACCTACATGTCAGATAACACATGCAATTTTCGGTTTTATGTTCAGCGTGCGTATTTCTTGCTGCCGCGCCGCACGCCCAGTTGGACGCTGAGAGCAGCTTGGCTTCCTCGGCATTGGGGAAGCGCTTGGCTGCTCGGCGGAAGGAGATTTGATAGGGCTCCCTCAAGTCTGCCCCTGGACATATGTAGGGGTTGATCAATATTCCATGGGTAACTTGGTAACTTTTTTCTGTTTCGTGGGGAAAGTCCTATCCTTGTTGGTGGTTTTTCCTGGTGGTCATCCGTGTCATGTAAAGGACCTTTTGGTAGTATAATGTTGATCCAATATTAAGCAACCCCAGTGGATTCTTAGAGATGTGTGTCTGGGTTTAGTGGGGAATCATCACTTTTTGAACGCCTTGCTTCCCAGCCGTGCGGTGGGATCAGAAAACGGACAGCCCGGACACGAGTGCGAGTTGAGCCATCGCTAGTCTTCAGTAGTATTCGGGGCGCCTTGCGGTGAGCCAAATCAGCAAAAACTCGCAAAGCCGAAAGTGGACCACGCGAAACCGATACCCCGCTTTTTGACTTCAGAACACTGCAAACCGATACGGGACCAGCCTTCTTCCTCATGGCGTTGAATTTAGTAAAGGATTTGGTTTGCTACTCAAATGGCAACTTTTGAAGGGGAAATCCGGTGATCCTACGACTGAGGTATGATGTTTTGAGGGTACCCCTTGTTGGGCTGACTTTAAATGGAAGCCGCAAAAACAACAACTCACTTGCAGCTGACCTTTTGAGCTTTTAGTTTCCCTTTGTTGGTCCATAGTCAGGTTTCAAAAGGTGGTCACCTTCTATTTCCGGTCCCTTGGGGCAAGTGAGTATTTCTTGGAACCTCTATTTGACCTGACCCGGTTTTTCTTAGTGTGGAATTGTTTTGGGGAGTAGGTACAAGGTACAATGGGGCCATGCCTTAGGCAGCCCCCCCCCCTCCCTGAACTACCCCAGCCTTAAAGATCGCATAACTGTACAGTAAACTGTCCCTTCTTTGATGGGGAAATGCGAGCGAAAAATAGACACGAGGCGCCCAACACCCCAAAAAGCGAATCCCCGAAGGCGGTTGCAACATCTGGTTCTGCCTTTCTTATGAAGGTACTTGTTTGTGGCGTTTAAAAGGCAACCAGTAGGACAAACACCATTTTGGGGGTCCCCTACAAAAAGACACCCATATTTGGACCCCAAGTGTCCACCGTCCCCCTGCTTCCCCAGCCTTCACGCGTCAAATGTTGCGTGTGGCGCATGTGAGGCTGGCGCGCAACAGAGTCTGAAGATGCTAATGCAGGCGTGGATTGAAAGCAACAGGAGGCCTTACTCCCATCTCCTCCCAATCCAAATGTTCAGTTGTTTGGAACCATAGGGAGGCTACTTGTTTAACACGATGATTTGCCACATTTGATTGGCGATGATAGTGAGTGATTCAGTTTGAGTGGGCAGGCACCAGATATCAGTCAACATGAGTCTGATTTACGTTGCCATACCTTGGCTTGATTGTGCACATCAGATGTTCATGGTTGTGGACAGTTGAGTTTAGGGCGACTTTCTGTGCCACCATCTCTGAGTGACAAAGTAGTGCGCTTGGGCAACCCACTTTGGTACTGTGGTTGGACAAATTCCTGCACCACCGTTCAGAAGCCCTCGAATGATATGGTTCCCCAACGCAAATAACTACCAAGAAACGTTATGGTTTAATTCCCATGGTTTCATTCCTGAAATCCGCGAGACTCGCGGATTTCGCAACCATCCACAGTATCATAGGCATGGGTCCGTTTTGCCACCATGCAGACATTGATCAAGAGCTTTGAGCCCTCGCCTTTATCGAGCAGGGTCCGGCAGAATAAATGCCTCTCATCGAACATGGAACCTGAACCTGCGGGGGGGGGGGGGGGCGGTGCTTGCTTGGATGTTTTAACCTGCTTAGTAAGTAGGTTATAGCCAGGCTTTTGAGTGGGACAACTGGGGTTGGTTGACTTATACTGTAGGAAAAACCTGGGTACTGGGTTGAACATCCAAGTGGCTGACCAGTTTTCACTAAAAGGTGTTTGGTGGACTGGCAATGCTCAAACAGACTTCCAGCAGCACATGTGTGTTTTGGAGCGCTTCCTAATATGAGCCACAATCCAAACCTGGGGTAGAAGAAGGCTAGTAAGGGATAATCCCAACCATAAATGGGTGTAGCCTCCTCATTGATTCTTTACATGGTTCTGGGTAGATCATTTTAGTACCAGGTTTTGATTTTGACTCATATGACCTACTCGAGCAGAAAATTATACAGACACCCCCGTATTGGCCCGCACAACGAGCGCAAAAGCCCCGCAAACGAGCGCACGTTTGAACAGCGGTCAGTTGAAATATAAACACCGAGCACTGTTCATTGCTCGGGCAGAATTTGAAGAACCGGGCGCCAACTGTGTTAAAGCAACAAATAGTATGAATGGAAGGTCCAGGAAAGTTTAACCTCTTCTTTCCGCGTCCTTCGGGCAACTGAGATGATTGTTGGAGGGAGGATAATCTTGCTGGTCAGCCGGGAATGAGGGCATGATTCCTATCAACCATCTTCTATGGTTCCTACAAATACATCCATTCCCAAAACCAAGTCATTCCCAAGACCCGGACGGGTCATTCCCTGAGCACCAGCAAGTGATGTCTTTTTCGATCCGAGCTTCGGCTTTCAGGCACCTGCGGACTCGAAGCCGCTCGAAGCCTCCTTCAGCCGGGCTCTGAGTGAAGGGGACTTGGGTTCATGGCGACTTGCAATGGGAATCTCTGTTGGCATTTGGGGGTTGACCGAAAAATCTCGACATAGATGGGATGACCAGTGGGTGAAAAGCCACGAAGAGGATATGTTGATCAACCTCATTTCGGCCCTTTTGCGTTTCGAGGCATGAGTTTGAGGGAAACTCAGCCCCCCCCCCCCCCGGAAAAGAAGAACATGAGCGACTAAAACACATGAACGGCATGACTACCCTGCTTTTGGGGGTTGCTTCGGCAGGAAATCAAAGGAGAACAACCACTATTGGGTTTTCCCTTCCGTCACCAAGGCCTGGGGAGGGGTGCCCTGCCCCGATCCAAATGACCAGTTTTCCATACTCCAAGTTGGAAACTACTGACTCGCCCCAAGAGATCAAAGGATGAATGCAGACATGTCCATACCTGGACCACCCAAATCGGCAGCTTTTTGCGGTTGGCGGCGTTTTTAGTTTAAAATCAAGTTCTGTGCAAAAACAGGCAGCAGGAAATCGGCGGGAAATCGGCGGAATTCGGCGGAATTTCGCGGAAGCAGGTTTCAGCATGTCGGAGTGTTTGTTGCGTTTCGGCGTTTTTTCTCGCGGGCGGCGTTTTTTGGGCTGTTCGGCGGAAATGTCTGCCGCCGGGGCCTTTCGGTAGAAAGTTCTGCCGCCGGAGGGTCCAGGTATATGCACCCCTGGCAGATTTCCTGGTCTCTGGGTCAACTAACCGTTCTGGCTTAATTTGGGGAAATCAATTCGCGAGGGGTCCCAAATGGCCATGAGTTCACATATGGACCTACACAATCAGTCTTTGACGAGCGATGTGGACCTCATGGCTCTGCAACTTGCTCTTGTAGGCCGCCTTCCACGTGAGGAATAATTTTTGTCAGGGCACTGAATCTGCAAAAGCCCAGGTTTTTTTTTGGGGGGGGTGGGGAAAGATGATGAAGCGGATATCAAGAAGTTGAACTTATGGCTAAGACTATGCTCAGCCCGATGCTTCTTTCATGCAGAGCACCTCAAGGCTTTGCTAGTTGTTGCCCCCTTCCCAGCCAATTGAGCTGGAAACAGGAGCCTGGAGAACCTCTTCGGTTCTTGCCTTCTGGGCGATAGGCAAAAGGGCCCTGATTATCTCGCCGGAGGTTTTCTGTTCATGAGGGCAGGGCTGGCCTCCCAAGGGGGTGGTGAGCTTGCAAACCATATCATGAGATGCATTTTTTGGGAAGCACATGTTGGGGAAAACTTGGGTTGCTTCAGCAGTGGCTTAGCACAGACTAAACAAACACTTAGCAAAAAGGCAAGCCGGCAGGTTTTTGGGCTTGGGGGCTGCCTTTAATCTGGCAAGGGCGGTTGGGCCCCAAGCAATGGCCTTTGGCCAACCCTTGTTGGCTTTTTGGTATGGTGGCTTACTATTCGTGCATTGACGTTCCCCAAACATGCACAGGTGAATGAGTGCCCGAATCCAAGCCATGTTTGTCCGGGCGAAGCAGTGCACCCAGGCTCTTCCCGACAGCGCTCCTTGCTGCCATGGAATTGGGACAGGGTGACACGTCGCAGCGGCATCCGGAGCTTGAGGAGAGTATCCTAGCTGATCGGATCAGTCCAATCAAGAACTCCCACAAATGAACCGTGGGCAACACAGGCGTCGATCTGCGAGTTTGAAATGACAGACAGCGAACAGGAGAAGGTGCTGGTGCTCATTCCGACTTAGAATGTTGGAGCGCGACAGCCTGGCTTCCAACCCAGGATAGATCAGCCTCAAAAGGATCTATTTGAAGTCGCTTCAGAAAAGGCAGCAAAACGGAGCAGCCACATAAATTACGTTTGAACGTCCGTTTCACCCCGAAAAGGGCAGCCTCCTTTGTGTCTTGTTGAACCCCCTTGTGATTTTCTTTAGACACGTGGGATTATACCCCTCGCAACTAGGGGTTGGTAGGTTATAACCCTACTTACACCCAACACGCAGGCGCCAAGAGCGAGGGAGATAGGGTGAGGGGGAGAAAGAGGCCACAGTTGTCGCATCCATGCGATAGGTTTGTGTCAAAAGGACATCGGACATTTTGTTTGTTCCTTTTGGTGTCCCTTCCAACCGACCTGCTTGGCAACGTTTCTCTTTGTTTTCCCTGTAGCCGACCAAAACGACAATTTTACATGGGTATGTGTCCAACCAGAGGCCCAAAACTTACGGTGTTCATTTTGTTGTGTTCCTTGAGCCCAATCTGAAAAGGGGTACACTTGAAAAAGACCCACCAATTACAGGACACCAAAGTTTTGAATTCAATTCCACTCGACAAAGTCTCCTCAACTCCACCCATCTCCACCTCCGCCAATTCCCCGCTTTCGATCCGAGGCCTGGGATGGTCCTTCACGGCCCGCTTCTTGCGCACGGCCGCGGCCAGCTCCGCTTCGGCCGCTTCGGCCGCTTCGGCCGCTTCGGCCGCTTCGCCCGCCTGGGTGCCCACTGCCCGCTTGGGGCCCCAGTGTCGTCCACGTTTTGGACTCGTCTTGGTAGGGTTCCGAGTGTCCCAACAAAAAGGGGCAATTCAACCACCGGGTTGTTAAAGATTGGAAGACTGATGTTGGTCATAACCACTCTCGGTTGAAGTCGTTAAAGATTGGAAGACTGGTGTTGGTTATACTCACTTTCGGAGTTCCGTTTCGCGCTTGAGTCACTTTCGGGGTTCGGACCATTGGCAAACAAAGAGTTTGGACTTGTTTTGCCAATCTACTCAGGAAACGACCGTGCCAACGACCGTGCCAGTGCCAGCACCCGCCCAACAACTGCTTTTCCCCATGTCGAAGAACCAAAGTGCTGCCCAAAAGCAATTGTTGTTGGGGGGGTGCTAGAAAATCGCGAAACAGTTTGGAGGGTTGCGGCGTTTCCAACCAAATGGCAGCCAAGTTTGTTTGTGATCCAGCATGTTTGCCTATCTGTTTGCAGGCTGAGCCAATGCGAGTGCGAGAAACAGCCTGTGCACTTGCTGGCGTTGCAACGTTGCCGCTTTAATACATATATATATATATATACACACATGACGCACGTATCATGCGTCTATATGCGAGAGCCTCAGTTGTTGTATGTGGAAGACCGCTGTGGCATTCTCTGTGAATGTTATTTAGGGGTAGCCTTCCCAATTGTTTGCAAAGAACGGCAATCCACCCCTCATAAGCCGAAGTAGACATGGCCAACAGATGGCCGTTTCTGTTTTTCTCGTCCTCCCCCCCCCCCAAAAAAGAGCAGAACAAAAACACATCAAATCCCCAACGTCGCAGGGGGAAAACACGGAATTCGTCTCAATATGGAGACACTGTACCAAAAGAAAAAAGAAGCCGGTCGCATCCCCAACTGCAACCTCCAGGTTCAAGCCCGGAAGCGTAACCAGAAAAAAAATGCTTGGAACCCAATTTGTTCCCGAAGCCTTCCGGAGTCCTTCCGGAACCCTATCGCTATTAACCAGGCTCCCGCCTGCTGCCGCCGACCCTCGGCGCATTAAGGGAAAAGTCACAAGGACCGGTCCTGAAACACGTCCGCAAACCCAGGGACCACTTATAAGATCCTCTACGACCACAAACAAGGATTAACGGAAAAGTCAGAAATAGGGCAGCTAGTCCGTTAATTACCGCTTGGGCCGGCTTGCGCCCAAGTCACTTCGAGTTGGCCCGGGAGCAGTCGCCTCTCCCGGGGTCGCCCTGAAACTGGCCCTCCCGAAGTTGACCAGAAACAAGGATTAACGGAAAAGTCAGAAATAGGGCAGCTAGTCCGTTAATTACCGCTTGGGCCGGCTTGCGCCCAAGTCACTTCGAGTTGGCCGGGAGCAGTCGCCTCTCCCGGGGTCGCCCTGAAACTGGCCCTCCCGAAGTTGCCCTGGACCGGTCGCCGGCAGGGACCGGGACTTGGGACCCTGTCCAGGCTGGTCCCAGTCTGGCGCGGTTTGACTTGACGTATTGGACTCTCTTGCAGAATAGATGGGATCCTCTACTACCACAAGGACGTCAACTTGGTCAGGTGTCTGGAGCGGTTTGAGGCAGCACAGCATATTGAATTGGGACCCAAGACCAGCGGTCACACCAGGACTCGATCCCGGACCGGCTTCCCTGACCGGTCCAGGACTGGTCCTGGGACCGGTCCCAGGACCAGTCCCAGGACCGGTCCTGGGACCAGTCCCAGGACCAAACCGCTGGTCCTGGGACCGGTCCCAGGACTGGTCCCAGGACTGGTCCCAGGACAGTCCCAGGACCAAACCGCGGTCCTGGGACTGGTCCTGGGACCAGTCCCAGGACCAGTCCCAGGACTGGTCCCAGGACCGGTCCTGGGACTGGTCCCGGGACCGGTCCTGGGACCGGTCCCAGGACCGGTTTTGGCTGACTACAAGTAATCCAAAACAGCAGAACCAGGGTCCCAGGACCAGTCCCAGGACTGGTCCCAGGACTGGTCCCAGGACTGGTCCCAGGACCGGGGTTCGGGCGTGTCCCCCAGGGACTATCATTGATTCCAATCACTTCCAGTTGCATCCCACGCCGGTCCCCTCTGCAGGAGGCTGGGACGGGAGGCAGAGGGTCGGCGGATTTTTGGTCCTTTACAGCTTCCAAGAAGGGAACCCCTCGCACAAAAGCGCACGCAAGCCAAAGGTTGGACCAGCCGAACCTGCACCTGGACCCGTTTTGTGGGCGCGGTGGGACTGGGCGGTGGTCTCAAAATCAGGAACACCCCCCAACCCCCCCCCAAAAAAAAAAAACAAAGAATGAGTTGTTCCTTTAGCTTGTTTTTCCCAACAGAAAGCTATGGGGTCTCTGCCCAGATAGGCATTGTGGTTTCGGGCAGCTTTCAGGGGGGGTTCCAGAAGGGTTCTGGGGCTGTTGGGGATACCACCTGGGCTTATTTCTTTAAAAGCAACACCAACAGGAGACCTTTTTTGTTGAATATCCATTTGTGAAATCGTAAAGCTTGCAGACATAACATCATGGAGACAGGCAAAATAGACACATTGCCGATTCGCTGGTATAAATCCCTGGTGTATGAAATCGTACCACAGGGCGATGTGTCCCTTACGTGGTTTCCCTTAATTAGGGGCGATGTTTAAAGGAGAAATATGAGATATGAGGACCCTTGTGTTCAAGTCTTGGGGAAGTCTATGGATTGCATGAGGTGAAGATGACTTCGCATACAGCGGAGGACAATCAATCAGACATGTATATAATATATATATAGTATGGTGAACTCCATGTTCGCACGAGGGCCAGCATCAGCCAGAGGAATGCCCAAACATCGATGTATTATCCCACTCACAGGAATCCCACCCTTGATAACTTTGGCCCGGATGAATGCGAAGCTGACAGAATCAATGAATGTTCCATGACCCGCCAGCCCGCCGGTGCTTGGAGTTTCTTTGCCCAACTACTATGTAGAGGTAAGTTTCTCATCGTGGCCAGGAGAGGTTGCAAGCCTGGTCTTTGATTCGAAGGCAAACCTGGCCGTAGTTTTGGAAAACATTGGGGCTTGTTCATCGCCTCCAAGCTTCGATGCTGTGCTCGTTCAGGGCAAGACCCACTCATGCGGGTTGTTCCAAAAAGACACATTGTAGCAAGCAGCTGGCCCGTCAGCACCCATAGCGAACCAACCACAAAAACAGGAACCGTTTAGCCAGCCAGTTCAAGTTGCCAGCCAGCAAGACGCCTGGATCTCGCGTTCAGGTAGTACAAGAGCTGGTCGACCAACATGCCAAGGGCATGCCGCCGGGCGAGGGAAGAGAGCAAAGCGCGGCAGGAGCCAGCTGCGCTTGAGGGAAGCCTCCAGGAACAGCCTCCTAGGAGCGGTTTTGAGTCACAACCTCGACTTTCACAGGCTGACTCTGAGCCTGGGGTCCATGTTCTGGGGCTTGCAGGCCCTTTGCAAAGAGAAGAAGACTCCCATTCACAGCTTTGGCTGGCGGGTCTGGCCAAAAGCTACTCCGCCGTGTGTGGAGCGGCCTGCTGTGCGACGCGCATCAGCTGGCCTGGCTGGGTGTTGTGTGCACCCCCGACGCCCGCGCGCGTGGCTTGCATCGATGTCGCAGAAGCCGGCGCTGTGTGCTACATGGAGGGCCATCTCGTCGATGCCACGGATCCCTCTCATTCTTGGGTTCCAGGGATTTTGTGCCGTTGACATGTTTCAGAGGGCCTAGAGGTGTTTGTCCACATCAGAGCCGCGTGTGGAGCCTCGAGGTTAAACCACACGTAAACATATCTCTTGGAAGGCGCAATGCTACAGCTAGAAGGCCGAAGCGGCATAACTTGCGTGCTGTGGTTCTCGGGTTCCTTTGTCCGCGAAAGGCCGATCTTGCGACCTCATGCGAGTGCTTTTCTTGGTTTAAGTTAGTGGCTTCAGGAGTAACATTCTGAAACCGGAGCCCTAAAATCCAAACCAATCCAATCCATCACCTGGGCAACTGAAAGTTTCCATGACCCTTGGAACGTGGATGTCAGATCGAGCGGGTAGAATGCTGGTTGATGGCCAATATGTTCAAACTTCAGGATCCACAGATTAGAGGTTTCAAATTGGGTTTGGAGATGGACAATTCAATAGGCTCGAGGCATGTCCTTGTCTTTTTTCCCAGTTTGTTTTTGATGGAACGGCCATGA